TACGAAAGTTGAATGTATGTCGACTCCGACAAGCCGTGCGATTCGTCCACGTACTTGTTTACGAGGATAATCTGTCGCCGGGCAGAACTGCGCCTGCTCAGAACCCGAGTGGGGATGAGGAAGAAAGCCGACGTGCCGAGTTCGAAATAACATCCATGGTCTTTCGTCGTTCGGACTTCAAAGCGCGAGGTCTTTCGTCTTTCGTAAAGTTTGCGTCTCTTGAACCGAAGCGAAGTCCCGCGTTCGTAATACATTACGGCGTGTAAAGTGCGCGTTGCTATCACGGTAAAAGCTACCCGATCACTTCGAGTGTGCTACAACGGCGTGGCCTACTGTGATATTGAAAGCGCGATAATATTCCGAGTCGCGAAACGCGTAAAATCTCGATGAGCGTGTCTCACGCATCGGTACCGAGCATATCCAAGATATTGCAAAGTCGGTGAACATTGTATAAGCGTTGTGTGATTGTGTCGTGTGCGTGTTTAATAGTTGTTTAATAAATTCGTTGTTAATATTACACGAATATCTCTCGTCATTTTGACGTCCTATCCTCGCGATCGTTTCGAAAAGCATTTTGACATCGCAGAACGAGGAAATTCTTGAGCCACGAGCACACCAACGAGACATCCCGAACGAGCGATCCAGCCAACGAGCGACAGGGATCCAAGGGAAATTAAGTAACATCCTTGTTATTTGGAGGTGAAAATAACTGGCGACCGAATTAGTAAGTAATTCAGTTTATTATATGGCATTGTCCGGTCACAACCTAACCTAACCTTTTTTTTTTTGTACGTGGTGTAAAAATCTTCGTAAGATCCCCTGTGCCTGTAACAGGGGAGTGTGGGTTTCACTTGCCCAGATGACAAGGGCAAGCGCCTACCCACTAAAACATCACCACGGAAGAACATCGACCCGATCTCAAGCGAGGGTGACCCCGGGACCGCTTCCCAATCAGCACACAATGTTTGAAAAAATATTTTTAAAAATATTAAAAAAATATTTTAAAAACATTTTTAAAAATATTTAAATAATGGGTTAAGTGCTCTTTTTTTCATTAAAAAACGTTTATTTTAACGTTT